AGAGTCTGGACTCTAGATCCAATGTGTTTCTTTTTTCCAGTGTATAATTGGAGTACATCTTCATTATCCAGACTCCGAATTTTCTTCACAGAGACAAATGTGTAACCGACAATAAGCCATTCATTTTCAACGAAAAGACTTTCTTATCGCTCTCAAAAAAGTTTTTTTCCATTTGCAACAAAGATACTGTCTGAGGATATTTCGTAGCTCCTCTGACGTAAGGGCGTATCTCTACTTCCACAAGAGCCCCCGCAAGTATGGAGCTAAATGGAGAAAAAGGCTCACGTGGAAATTGAGATACGCGCTTACGTCAAAGGAACAACGGTTTAGAGCCTACGTCACTCGGTTGAGTAATGAGTTTTTTCCTCCGAAAGAATGACCTCCGACGGAAAAACAACAGTAGGTTATTCAACTAAAAATGAATCAGTGAGTTCGAAAACTTACCAACTCGGAAAAAAAAAATTGCTCAGGAAACACCTAAAACTGCGGAGCGGGCGAAGAAGTTAGTTTAAGAAAAACCTTTTTGGTGCCAAAGGACGAGTTCTTAGAGACTTCGTAAAGCGCAAAGTTGAAATCGATACACCATGTTCGATGACAGAGAATTAACCGAGTGGTTCCGAGCAAGCATGGAGCTAAATGGAGAAAAAGGCTCACGTGGAAATCGAGATACGCGCTTACGTCAAAGGAACAACAGTTTAGAGCCTACGTCACTCGGTTGAGTAATGAGTTTTCCGAGTTGGTGGGTGTTTTCATTCTCACCGACTTTCAGATAATGATTTTTCATAATCTGCCCTGAAAAATTTATATTTTTCGACCTGATTAACGCTTGAATATTTATGTAACTTGTTGGTACAAGGTATACTGAACGGAAAAAAGGAAACCGCAAAATCGGATGGTCACCCGTTTCCCTTGAAATGGCCAAAAATTGGTATTTCCAGTGAAATACTTCGATTCTTCGACCCTTTTCCCGTCACTGTTTCGAGCACTTCCGATTGCAATTTCGAAATTTCCTTTTGCGTGCAGATGCTTCTATCCATAATTGTTACTAAACCTTAAAAAATTGAAAATCGAAGATTTCGAACTCACTGATTCAAATGTGACCAGCGGAAAATTTTAACATGTTAAATTTTTTGGTAAAGTTCTGCATTACGGAAAGTATATGGACCGAGTTCAACAGAAAGGAGCCAAGCCACATCAACCGTTGCCAAAATTAACTAGGCAATTCAATTTCTTTATGGAGGAACGTTTGTGCGGATTTCTGTGAAAATGATAAGGAATTTAGCTTCGTACTACGGAGAAAATTCACTGAAATTTGCACGAAAATCCGCTCTACCGTTTTCATGTAAAAAATTAACTTGCCGAATTAAATTAGGCAATGGCTGATCAGGGCCGGATCTAGGGGGGGGCAAGTGGGTGCACGTGCCCCGGGCGCCACTTCAGGGGGGGCGCCAAAATGGCAATGACTTTTTTTAGAAAGGAGGTGAGAGGGAGGGAGGGTGAGAAGGGGGGAAGAGGAGAGGGAGGTTACAAACATCGAAACAGGAATACATACATATGAGTCGCTTTTATAGCGATCTTTGGCGCTTTACCACGCCTAATCGCCACAAAGCTNTGGGGGGCGCCAAAATCTGGGTTTGCACCCCCCTACGTGAAACGTAGATCCGGCCCTGTGGCTGATGTGGCTTGGTTCCTTTCTGTTTAACTCGGTCCATATAACTGCTGTAGCTTACGTTTTAGCCACATTACGAAATTTTTACTTAGATGTGCGAAAATACAACTGCGTTTTTTTCATACATAATTTTTTTAAGGAAATGGAGCTGAATGGAGACATAACAACTAATGATGACAGAATTACTTTGAAAATTAGAAAAATTTTCAAGAAAAATTTACCTCACAGAAATAACATAGAAATATAAAATTTGGACCGCGTTAAACAGAAAGGAACCAATCCACATCAGTTATTGGAGAATATAATTGGGCAGTTTATTTTTTTACATTTATACTAATCATTAGCAATAGAGAAGGAGAGATAGAATGAATTTAGTGCATGTGCTTGCATTAAAAAAAAAATATTTTTCTGCACAAAGCACGCGGATATAGATGCAATTTGTACTTAAATTACAAAACTATTGAGGAAGAAAAAAGAACTTACCAATTTTCGAATTTTGGTCCATTTTTAGGTACTGGAATGCAATCTTTAGGAGGGCGGGATAATAAGTGCGTTCAGAACGTATACACTGCACTGTCAAAAAGAGGAAGATAACACACTGAATGCCAAGTATCTCGATGAAAATTTAACGAAAGAATCACGTTTGCATTCACATTCGAGAACAATTTCCTTAAGAACTAAAGTAAACAACAAAAATACGACGAAGCCAAATGAAACACTGATTTAGATTACAATTTCAAAATATTAATTTTTTCCCTAGAAATCTCGTATTTACATTCAGAGAAACTGGTAAATTTTACACGTCTCATAGCATCGAAAAACGAACGGTTGAGTCAGGAATTCCAATCGGAGAATTTCACTCTGATCGCACACACGCAGCTTGAAATTTTAAAGAATCTATTTTTAAGGACCGGTAAATTTTACGCACACAAAATTAGCATGGAAATTAAAGTATGAACACAAAACATCACTCACAGGCGGAAAACCCCGCTATTTTTTTTAAGAATGAAGTAAAAAGAGAGCATTCGGTTAGGAACCGCGAACTAACTGTCGGAAAAATGGACTGCCGTTTTGGAACGCGTTGAGACTCCATATCATGGGCAAAAAAGAGAGGGGGGAAAATCTGCAAACTTTGTCAGTGATCTCGCTTAACTTGTGCATCTAAATTTTGTCCGGAGGGCCTTAGTTACAGGCTCAGCACGAGTAGAAACCGATAATGTTTTCACATTCCTTCAAAATCAACGGGCGCGGAACGGTCGTGCAGGATTTTTGAGAGACTAAAAATTCTGAAATTTTGCAAATTTTGAGGATTCGTCAAAAAAAATGCGATTTTCGTCCTTGTGGCAGAGACTTAGCACAATTAAAACCGATAATTTTTCCAGGTTCCTTCAAAATCGATGACTGCAGATCGGCGATACAGGATTTTCCAAGAGCTACAAATTCTGTAATTTTGCGAAATCTCGGGAATGAGTCAAAAACCACTCGACTTATGTCCATAGAACAGAGACTCGGCATAAATAGAAATCGATAAACTTGTCACGTACTTTCGAAATTGATGGCTGCGGGTCGACTTTTTGAAAAACCAAAAATTCGGAAATTTTGCGAAATCTTGGGAATGAGTAAAGAACCACTGGACTTTTTCAAATTCAAAAATTTTACAAATTCTGAAAATTTGCGAAATCTTTGGGAATGAGTCAGAAACCACTCGATTTTTGTCCATAGAACAGAGACTCGGCACGAACAGAAATCGATGATATTTTCACGTGCTTTTGAAATCGACGGCTGCGGATCTGTGATGCGGATTTTCGAGGAACTGAAAATTCGTAAACTTTACGAAGACCGGGAAATCGCGAAATCGGGCGCGCTTCACGTGCCTCCAACGGCGGGAACGCCGGCGAGCCAAGAGGCGGGAACTGAGCTCCGAGATGAGATGAATGGGGAGCTTTATCGCGCGTCGAGAGATGGCGCCACTGGGCAGCGCACAGCCCCCCAACGCGCGTTTCGGGCACTTCGTTTTCCCGAGCTTTCCTTTCGCGAGTCAGACTCAAAGACGTAAAGACGGAGCGCTAGAATAAGAAAATGAAGCCACCTCTCCTATTCTGCCGTGCTAAGGAAAAACGCCGTATGAACATTCGAGAGTTTCCCATTCGAAATTTCCCTTGAAAAACATGTATTTTGTACGACAATCCTGCACATTTTTCTTTGAAATTGTCTAATATTTTAGATTAAATTGCGTAAAAAATTGTCTGAAAATTTTGGAAAAAAATATTCACAATTCTCGTAGTAAATTCGGTTTTTATCGAGGGAAACTTGGCAACGTCTGAAGGCTCACACGGCGTTCTTCCTTAGCACGGCAGTTTTTGTTAGAGACCCTGGTAAAAATTGGCAATAGGAGCTGCGTTTCAAAATACCATAGGAGTTCTTATAGCCGACTGAAGAGGCCGATAGAAAATCATATAGCTGGCTGTAGAAAGTGGAAACAAATCACACGGCCGGACTGCAGGAAGCGATAAAAAATTATACAGGCGGGCTGTAGTTCCTATATCGCCGGGCTTTACACTTTATCGCCTGGCTCGCCTGGCTGTTGCTTTTTCGTCGTCGGTTATAAAAAGCTGTAAGAAATTGTGTAGAAATTTGTGTGCTTCGTAAATCCTTAAGTTTGTATGGAATCACCTTAATATTTACAAAACGCACATTATATTTTCCTTTACTACATATTTTTTGTCATCAATTACAATGAGAATAATCCATACAGAGTGTGCAAACATTTCAAAGTCATGAGTTGAAAAACGCTGACTCCACGAGATTAAACATTAGAGCCTAACACAAAGCGGAGCGGCGGCACACTGGCGCCTACAAACCTAACAGGGATACTTCACGCATTGCGCAATGCGTGAAGTATCCCTGTTAGGTTTGTAGGCGCCAGTGCGCGTTTCGTGCTGGCTGCCCGCCCGCCGCGGCGCCTCGCCGCAGCGTACCACGGCGCTTGAAGCAACTATTTCACACCAGAGGTATTGCACAGTATCATACGAAATTGAAGGCGCTCCAACATATAAGGAATGGCAGGCATCCTTCAAAAGTACGGAGCTTTCCTCGCAAAATTAATCAAGATACTACGGCCCGAAAAGAGAGCGGTAGTACAAAAACTCACTAAGTCCTAGCATCCGTATTTAGTAACGTTTAGTACGTTTTTTAACGTACGTTTAGTAACGTTAATTAATTTTCATGAAAGTTTGCATCTATGGTTCGGCCTCCTCCGCTAGGCGCAAATACTACGTTTGTGTGTTGAAAGGGTTAAGGAAACAGCCATAGTAAAAATTGATATCGAAGCTACAGTGTGAGTATGATGAGACATTTACTTAGTTATAAAAACATGTTCTGACTATTTGATCACAAAGGTTTGCATAAAAGCCGAATACAAGTTTCCGGGGTCCTGGAAATTGGCATAAAGTTCATTTTTTACTATTATGTAAGTCTCAACGGAGAAGAAACCTTATTGAAACGTCTGTCTCTTTCTCTGCTATGCCTTAATGTAGTTTAGTTCATTTCTACAAGTTCAGTTCGGTTGGTTATTGTGCAAGTCATTTTTTGGAAATTGAACTTCTAACTTTATCATAATTTTCCTCAAATTCCATAATCCTGAAGCTTCCCCTACAGTAATGTCAGGAATTAAATGTGAGTGTTGCCAACACAACAATTCGCAAGTTTCCAACTTTCTTCGAAGAGTTTTAGTGTTTAGCCGCCAATGATTCAAGATACTTATAAATCACAGAGAAATCTTTTCCTGAGAAGCCATTCTCGTGCAGATGCCTGTACAGGCTTGTGACTTGATCCCCTAAAGGCAATTTCACTCCTTTGTCAGAGGCTGCATTTTCAGCTAGACCCAAGTCTTTCACCATCAAAGTCACGCTGAATCCACCCTGCAAAAAAAGTAAAAATGAATAAAATGAACTATGTACCCCGTTTTCTGTAAAATATTCTTTTGCTTGAGTCTATTACGAACGCATGTCGCAGGCAGTTAGCAATCATCGGCAATTTGCAAGCGGCTTGCAAGTCAACTCGTCGAATTGCAAACATTCGTATGGACATAGTGAAGGTTTCGTTGCAAAAGAACTTCAAAATTGCGAACTCGATTTGGAGCGCCTTCAAATCCTGTGATACTCTCTGCGTTGCTTGGCAGTTAATATAGTTGCTTAACCAAACCGAACCCAACTTTGGTCTTCGATTTCACTCCATTGGACTATAGTAGACTTGGAGTATTTCGATAGTGAAACTACCAGACCACGTATCTCGTTTGCGGTGTTTGAAATCTCCGCTCCTATTTTAATTTATTTTGAAGGAGAACAAATCAATATAATTTCTTGAAAATTTCACAGAAATTTCAGAGGGAAGTTCTCAAGTATTAAATTTGAGTAGTTTTCCATTCAAAAAATAAAGTATGACAGGAAGTCTAGCGTCACAAATCGAGGTACTTAGTTTGGTAGTTTCACAGTCGAAATGCTGGCTGGTACCATGCATTCAAGAAAAAAAAGTCTGCTTAAAATTCCGAGCATAATAATCAGTACTTTCTACTTTTTTTTTTTTAAGTCAACACAAATAGATTGCTAATTTCCTGCGACTCATATAAATACCTACGAAGTTTTAAACGATTATCATCGGGATTTTCCCGATGTAATTAGAATTCTGAAAATTCGACAATAGGAGCTTCGGTTTTTTTTTTTTTTTTTTTTTAAATTTTTGCAAATTATATAGTTCCTTTCGCTTTGAATATGTGAACTAGGTAAGGAGTGCTACTGTATGATAGACGAATTCAACCAAATTGCGCATTTCACAATTTCAATTATTATTGGCAACATACAAGTGAAAAGTATCAATATTTGCTTGCAAGGTTGTAATAATTGATTCTTAATTTTCAGTTATAAAACAATTTAATAAGCTACATTACAATGCCGCCAATTTTTTCCTAAGTTTGAGGATAATAAGCTAAAATCAGAAGTCAGCTGACCCCGGAATAGAGCTCGCAGTGTAAACTGTATACTATGTTGCATTCATCCTTTTTGAAGGCGTTTTGTGATCGACTGCGGTATACACTAATTCGCGAGAGAGCTGCTCTCACTGACTGCTGTCTTGAGCAAAATAGTTCTCTTTCCTGCCACTTTCTACCTTTAATATTTGTTGCGTAACCAAAACAACATATCTGCAATTAGACCCTGTATGCAGATAGGTGTCTCCATTTATGAGCCAGATATTTTAATCCCTCATTGCAAAATGCAGAACATTCAGTGCTCATTCCCGCATTTGCTCTATTGGAATTCATGAAACTTCACAGATATTTTGTCTCTGCTCACCTCGTAATTTTTACTGCTGGGCACTCCATCAATGACTCCAGGAACAGGATTGTAAACTCTCGACGACCAACACTCTCCAGAGCTTGTGTTGATCACGGCTGCCAACTTCTTAGCGTCCAAACCTAATCTGCAATGATAGAAGATCTTGGAAGTGACCGTGGATGAAACAATATCGATGATCCAAGTGTGAAACCACGTATCTTCATTACGATGCTTCAAAATTTACACCCCTCTTTTATTTTTTCGGGGAGAATCAAGCCAACTTAATAGCTAGAAATAATCCATGCAGAAGAGTCTGCTAACAGAAAAAAAAATCAGGAAGTTTTCGAGAATGACTCGTTTTTCGAAAAAAGAATAAGACCGGAACCCTGCAACATCGCAAACGAGGAAAGGTACGTGGTTTAGAAAATTAACCATCAATGATAAAAAAAAAAAAAAAACTTAATCGGCCCGAAACATTAACAGAGAAACAACTTAAAACGGGACTAAGGCCGCAAATAATAGAAAGAAACACATAAAATAAAATAAAATAAGAAACCCGGGACGTTTCGCAGGGATCACACCCGCATTTTCAACCGGCAAAACAAGAAAAATCAAAACCCTATGAGCCTCACCGTTGTTATTGTGAGACTGATTTGTGATCTCACAATAACAATGATGAGGCTCATAGTGTCCTTTCTTTTCATTTTTCTTGTTTTGCCGGTGGAAAATGCGGGTGTGGTCCCTGCGAAACGTCCCGGGTTCCTCATTTTGTCATGGGAACGGAGTTCCCCATGATATTAGAATCGTTCCGTTGCTTTCGCTATGGAATTCCCTATACCTCTGCGACCTTGAGCGTTTCGCCCAGTCTCCGATTTTTGGTTGATTTTCCGATGTATCAAAAACCGTTGTATTTTTTAGCCAATCATGTCTCTACGTCAAGTTGTGTTGATTGCTAAAATTCGCTTTCAGCGAGTTTTTT